AAAAAAAAAAACACAAAGGAAACAGTGATCTAGTTCCAGGGACATAAATGGAGATCTTGACACTTACATATTCTGCGAAGGAAGCAATTCTTTTAGATTTTGCAACGGATACAGGCTCAAACAAAATTGAAGTCTTGCTTTCTGCTGCCACTGAAAATATTCATCACTCAATAAGAACTTCAACAACAAGCAAGAGAAATTCATACCAGTCACTTGATTAACTAACATGTTGGTTAAATCTCCAAAATTTATAAATGACAGCACATCTAAAAGAACGACGCTTGTATACTGATATCCTTATGAGATATTGCAAAAATTTTGCATATTTTAGCCAATGCTTAATCCTACAAATTTTGAGAGAGAAAGGGAGGTGGAAGAATGACAAGGTGCTTAATAACATACTTCGACAAGATGCTAAAAGTGCTGGAGGACTTAAATTTGCATCAACCATCAGCACAGGGGCAGAACGGACCTTTAGTTTGAATTTCTGAATCCATTCGGGAGTAAGAAACATCTCCTGTTGTCAGGCCACCGAACAGAGATGAAATGATATCCTTTAACTCAAATAGGATTAGTTCTTCATTTTTTTTCTGAAGTAATGAACTTACAATTGATTCTACACTAGCAACAGCAGCAGCCAACTCTCCTTTACCATCAAAGACATTGCACACAACAGCCGTTCCATTATCTTGACTTCTTTTAATGCCTAATCAGGGATGATTAGAAAATCTCATAAAAGTTGCAACATATGAGATCCAACTATAAATGCCAGGAGATATTACTAACAGGAGATCCAACATACAAGGATAATTGACCTTCACAAATCTTGCAAGGAAAATAATAAATTATACTTATTTTTTGTTGATATTACAAAAGTACTAATGATATGTAGTCTAATAACAAAAGGTAAAATCAAATATCTTCAAAGATTACATTTAGGCACCCTTCAAGTATTACAAAATATGAACTATCCCCTGAAGTTTCTAAAGGCATAATAAAAGGTATGCCTTGTTTAGGGTGCCAATTTTATATAAAACCAACATCACGGCGGAATTAGGCTAAACCATATGTCTCCTCCTCTTTCCTTTTTCTATTTTCTGGAAATATATTATCATAAAGTCATAAAAGCGCGCCTGCATACAAATCAAAATTCAAATGAGAAACCTTCCCCAAATTTTCATCACCCTAATTATTTGTGCATTTTTCTATTGATCCATGTAGCATCAATCATCAAAAGAACAACTCTGCAAAAGGCAGGACAACCTTACTAATATCAATGACAGGTATGCTTGACGATAAATATTTAATTGATTTCCATGACCAATAAAGTGGCTCATTACCTTCAACAGATAATCCAGCAGATTTCCAGTGTTCCAACAGTAAGTTTCCTAGTAAAACATAATAACTAGTAATAACCAAAACAATTACTGAACATCACACAGTTTTCTTAGAAGGTATAATGGAAGAAGATGGTACACAACGGAGGTGCAAGTGAATGAGAACACTCAAATCAATGTGTATTAATAGCAACAGTAAAATGAATTCCCACATTCTTTTTCTCATCAACAAGCAATAATAAATGGCGAAAAAACACAATGACTATTTGATGAATGCTAGCACATTGGGGGATGACCATGTTACACATTAAGCTCTTTTTTTTTTTTTTTTTTAAATGCAAATGAATTGGTATCAATATGTTCCAATAAGAGGAAAGAGATTAGGATCTTCAAATAACAGAATTCTTTTTTTGCATTAAAAACAGTGGGGATCTAGCTTTAAGATCTGACATTCCTCATAGACCATTTTCATGGATCGCATTAATCAAAATATTTAAAAGAATAATGCTACTTTAACATAATTTTTCTTATATAATGGATGACATAAATGATGTGTAAGTGTAGGAATCCTTGATTTTAAAGTTGATGTGTGAAACAATATGATCTTGCTACATGTGTATTATGTCGACCATTATGTTACTGTAGCATGATCCTACTTAAATAATGAATAAAGAAGTGGCTCATAATTAAAGGTTCTAACGATTGACCACGTAGAAACCTGCCAAGTCAAATCCCAGAGCGCTTATCATGTAAGGCTTTGCTCCAAGCTTTGACATGCACTCAGCAACATTTCTAGCTACTCCACCTAATGTATAGATAACCTGAATAGCCAATCGAAGAAAATTAACCAATATTGTAATCTCGCACAACTTTTAACATAAAATGATACACGAACCTAAGGTGGGCAAACGAACTTCATAACAAAACTAATCGATCCAATTCAGCATTGTTGCATATAGATTAAAAAAAAAAAAACATACTGGGGTAGAGGAAACAACAAATTACTTAGACCAATTAATTAATCAGTGAATCCTGGGCATGCTTATTTCACCACGATAATATTAAGAAGAATTTACATGAATCGTGAAGTTCCAAAAAAAATTAATTTATTTGGATACCCTTGACATTTGATAAACACCTAGAAATCTCAAAATTTCGAGGAACAAACTATTATGTATTATCTGGTTGTTGGTTCATATCAAATCACTATAGTTTTATCACCACTCAAATAAACTTTTCAAGAGCACATGAGATTGCATAATCGAATAATATGCACAAATTCGTAACTTAAACAAAATCCGCAAGAACACAACAAACTAGTTAAGTACAAGATATAAAAAGTATAAAACAGCAGTTGAGCTACTTCGTATTTGCAAATCCAGCAAGTACCCACACCCAGAGAGAGAGAGAGAGAGAGAGAGAGAGAGAGAGAGAGAGAGAGAGAGAGAGAGAGAGAGAGAGAGAGACTCAGTACACCTTTCCAGGAGTAGTGGTTCTGGGATTAGCGGCAATAGAAGGGATGGCATTAATGTCGAGCACCATTCCTCCAATCACCACTGGTTCACCTCCATTGTCCGAAACCCCATTCATATTTTCATTCACCACCACGAATTAACTGAAAAACTAATCAAGTTCAAGTAAACAGATGAGAGTTTACATCACCTATATAGAAGAAAAACACAAATAGACTGTGTTCGATGAAAGGAAGCACGAACATTAACTGACGTACCAAAATCAGGTTAACTTCGCTCTCTTTTCGGCTCTGGGGTTTTCTTCTTGAGTTCCTCCTCATCACAGTGATATGCTGTATACAGCGAGCCATATGTTACTAAAAATTTAGGGAAAAAAAAATTAACCTGATTTTTTAGAGTTTGTCATACAAACTTTATTTTTTAATAATTTATGTCTCAATGTAATTGAAACTGACAACTTGTCTCATTGATTTAAAACACTAATATGACACAAAAGAGTTAATCTTTAAAATTTGATTTAGGGCTTTTAAAGCTCATGGCGAGAGGATCAAAATGAGGTATGGTTTGTTGAATTCTGAATCGCTTCAGGCTCAGTTCCCGGTGGTCCCTGCGGAAGCCTGGATCGCTTCAGGCTCAGTTCCCGGTGGCCCCTTTGATGGAGTATTATCCCTAGCTTTCTAGGCCACGTAGCCTCTCGTATGTGTCTGGAGAGTTTAGAGGCATAATGAAATGCCAGAAAAATAGGGAGCACGAGAAGTTGAGGAGTTAGCTCCCTGCTATACCTCATATTGCACGCGATTTGATAGGTCAGACCGGGCTGTCACATTTGGTGGATTTGATGCATACTCATGTGGAAGTTCACTTGTTTTTTCATTTGTCGAACGTTGACAGCTTGATACTAACTCATTTCACATGTCGTTTGGTGAAATGAGTATCATGTTGCACAATGTTTAGGCCATTTTGGGGGTTACTGTAGAGGGAGAGATAGTTACAGAGGAACCCCGACACTAGCTCTTGCCCGACTTCGACTTACTGCATGGAGATGCTGCAGCTCACGAAAACTGAGCTAATGCAATCGTTCTGACAACATGGTGCAGTGACAATATTCTCTATTATGGAAGCATTTTAGGGGACAACTCGGTCGCCTGGGGATGATGCTACTGTTTGCAGGGTATGGGTGCTGCTAAGTACCACCTTGTTTGTTGACAAGAGTGGTAGTAGGATGAGTCCTAAATTCCTCCACAAGTCTTCGACGACTTGGATAGTGTTGGGACTTATTCCTGGGGCTCGGGTGCACTGGCTTACCTGTACAAACAGTTAGGTAATGCCAGCAGAGGGGACGCGCAGGGACTTTCTGACTACTTGACTCTTTTGCAGTCTTGGATATATGAGTACTTCTCCAGCTTTCGACCCCAACAAGAGCGTTTGGTCACCGGTGCTGACTGTGTCGCTCGATCCTGCTCATGGAGCATAGGGTGACGGAGAGATCAGAATATCGCCTCACCTCTATCCGTCAGCGCCTTGACACTCTCACCGCCTCTAATGTACATTCAGTAATTTTAGTTCAAAATTCGTTTAAAGTTATTTCAAATAATAGAATTTTTTTAAATAAATGATTCTATGCAATTGTGATCAAGTGCAATGGTTGTCGTACCGCCCTAGCCCAACTTCGACAGAGTCGAGGACCCTTTATTGCAAATGCCTTAGATACTGCGATGTTGTGGAGCCGTACTCGTCTGTTCCATTTTTGCGTCTGCTAGACTTCGTCCAGACTATCCCTCCCCGCATGACCCGTCCAGTAAATGCAATACGTGCTTGGGAGTCTAGGCTTTACAAGGTTGAAGATGTTGACACTGGTGTAGTAGATTCCTGGCACCAGTTCCCAGTGTTGTCGCTCGCTGACTTGACTATTTGCACCCCCACCACATATGATCGAGGGGAGGCCGATGAGCAGTACTTGGAGTGGTATGCCCGAGTTTCCCATCCTCTTCTCTTAGGTGATAGCCTGCCAGAAGAGCACATGGTCCCTATGCGCGGCAATACCGTTTATGTAAGTCGTTGCTGGATTTTATTTAATCTTCTTTCATTACAATATTTTTTTTAATATATGTGATGATATAATTTAATTCTAGTATTTTGTGTAGTGCGTAAATCATCTCTTCTCCATTACATTTTACTTAATAATATTTAATATTTAAGATAATATCTATTTATTTAATGTATTATTTATTTAATCTATTATATAATATTGAATAAATAAATTAGTAGACATTTAATAAATAAATTATTTATAAGTATTATAATTAAAAGTTGTATAAATTTTATATAATATAGATAAAATCATGTTTGTATATATATATATATATATATATATATATATATGTATATATAGGGGCTGGTTCAAATAAAAACTAAGTCTTGTGTGAGAACCGTGAAAATCATATTTGATGCTATTTCTAACTGTGTATGATGCTATTTTTAATATTGCATGGTGCTATCACTTTCACAAATGCTAATAAAAATTTTATTACTATTTTTAATCCAATACATCCTACTTAAAAATAGCACTAAAACACAAACAATCCTAGCACTACATACAATTAAAAATAGCAGTTCTCACGGTTCTCACACTAGGACTTGGTTCTAATTTGAACCACATCATATATATATATATATATATATATAAGGATACACTCCGGCGAGAATGGTTCTCAACGAAGGAAATGAGAATACATGTTGGCCGTCCGATTAAGTGAATCATATGGATAAAAAAAAAAAACTCAGCAGGTTTACATTACGTAAGGAGAATAAAGTAAATTTTATGTAGTGGTCAACTCGTTGGTGCCCAAGAGTGTACAGCTAAGGTCTAACTGAAAACCACTGACGCAAGTTCTGATTTAACTCCCGAAATCCACTAGGGCCTGGACTAGGGCTAGGACTGACTGCAACACCAAAGGTGGGGCTGGAACCTATGTATAAAAAAAATAATAAATAAAATAAAGTAAATTTCCACACAATTCACTCTATTCAAACCAACCACACGTGGGCATTCCAAAGTTAATTTGGGGTTTTACGCACAGGAAATGCTCCCTCCTCTCTCTTCATTTCTCTCTCTAGCCCTACCCCTTCCCACCCCACTCCTTCTCCTCCATCAGCCCTCCATCCCCGCCTAGCTCCGCTGGTCTCCGCCGCCGCCAGCGGCGCACCGCCCAGTCTTTGGGCCGTCCGCTCTCACCCCCCCCTCCCCCATTTCAATCCCCATGACTTTCTCTCCTCCCCCTCGAGCGCCGGAGCCCTCGGCGCCGCCGCCATCTTGACTCCCTTGGTCAGATCTTTTGGCTTCTACCGTGGAGACACTCTCAGCCCCATTTCGGCCGCCAACTTGGCCAAGCTCCATGGCCGTTTCCGCTCTAAACTCGCTGCAGCTCTCGACAAAAGGAAGAAGAAGAACACCCCGCTCGGTGGCACTTGGAGGGCCTCGCCTCCGACCGACGTTGGGAGCGCCGCCTCTCCTCAGCCTTCCGCCGGAGCTGGCGCCCTCACCGGAGATGATGATATAGGCTGACCCTTTCTAGGCCCGTCGCCGACTTTGGAGAACCCAGCTTTTGGTGACCAACCTTCTCGACCTTCCATCGGGCCCTTCACCGAGTGTTCTCCGGCTGGCGCACCCTCAGTCCGGTCAGCCGCCGTCGCTGCTCCGCTGCTTGGATATGGAATTCCCAACCACCGCCAGCTGCTTGTTTTGGATAGGGTAGGGAGCGACGTGGCCGATTCCCCTTCATTCAGTAACCCCTCAGCTCACTTGGACCATTTGCCCACTCATCCTTTGGGCCTTAAGAACCAGGCCTTACCCTCTTCACCCCATTCGGACTTTGTGTCTTTGGGCCTTGTCAACCAGGCCCAACACCCAACATCTCCATCCCAGATTTCCTTTGGTTCTTTTGGCCCAAATTTCCAGCCCAAGCCTACAGCTACCCAACCCACACAGCCCGCGCCTACAGCGCCCACACAACCCTTATTTCCTCCCCAGTTGCCTTCAGCCCCGATGTCCTCCGCCGGTGCCACCCTTTTGTCGGCCGGCGGACCATTTTTTTCGACGACCGGTGGCCCCAACGCGGCGCCGCCACCGGTCTACCGCAGTTCTCCGGCGCCCCCGCCGCGGACGGATTTCTTGTGTCTATGGTCGTTTCTCCGACGGGCCCCATTTCACCACCTTTCGGAAGCCCGATCCTCTTTTTCAGAGCTAGTAGAGAGGTTCAGCCCCCGACGGGCACCATGTCGATCTCCCCTCTGGCCTCCAGAACCCCTACTATCGCGGGCCACCCTACGGCATCTTCAATGCCGGAAATGGACCTTAGCGAGCGGCTGCTGAGGGGTACATTTGCTCAAGGACCGATCACGGATAACCCCCATATCATACGGCGAACCATGATCTCCGCCCAACTGGAGCACGCTCCTTTCGAGACGCGGTAGCTGGCACCTCGACCGCCAAACCGGGTCATCAGAGACTGATGTTGGATTCCTTTCGGGACAAACAAAGCGGGATTGTATCTCGCTCCGAGGAGGGCAGGTTCAAGGTAAGTTTCCTTGAGCCCACTGTTATTTCACTAGCCGGGTCGTTTGATACTGCGCTTATCTTGAAGTTTTCCTTCGTTGTCCCCTCTCTCCGGGATCTTTCTGTCGGTCTTTTCAAATTAGGTTTCAAGGGTAGAGTGTCACCTAAGTTTCTTAACTATAACCATTATCTTCTCTTTTTTGAGTCGAAAGAGGACTACAATGATGTTTTGATGAGGACGCATCTTAATATCTTTGGATGCTCTGGTCGGGTGTTTAAATACACCCCTAATTTCTATTTTCTTGAGGAATCTCCCACCGTTCCGGTATGGTGCTGCCTCCCAGGCCTCCTACCACATCTTTTCGACCCTTCTGCTCTATTCTCGATTGCCAGCTGCATTGGCAATCCCATCGAGACTGACGCCGCTACGGCGAACCGTTCGAGATTATCTGTCGCACGGGTGTGCGTGGAGATTGATCTCAGGGACGAGCTCATCAAGGAGAGACCACTATCCAAAAAGTGGTTTAAGAGAGAGTCCCCTCGTTCTGCACCCTATGCAATCA